GGGTAGGTAGAGAATTCATGAACAAGACTCAAACTGCACGGGAAATACTTCCCAGAGTCAATAACTGGGATCACATCTTATTAAAAAGTTTCTGCACATCGAAAGAAATCTCTAACATAGTGAAAAGAAAACTCACAAACTGGTAAAAAATCCTAGTGAACTGTCCCTCAGACAAAGGACTTCTGTCTAAAACATACAAACAATTAAAAAAAAATCAGATCCCCAAAATTCAAAGACCCCATCCAAAAATGGGCATCTGAGATGAATACACAATTTTCAGATGAAGAAATACAAACGACAAATAAATATATGAAAAAATGTTCAGCATCACTAGTCATTAGAGAAATCTCACTCCTGAAAAAATGGCCAAGATCAAGAAAACCCCCAATAACAAATGCTGGAGAGGCTGTGGGGAAAAAGGAACTCTCCTGCACTGTTAGTGGGAGTGTAGACTGGTGCAACCATTGTGGAGGTCAGTCTGGAGATTTCTCAGAAAGCTGGGACTGGAAGCCCCATTTGACCCAGCTATTCCACTCCTAGGCATATTCCCAGAAGAACTGAAATAATCATACCACAGTGATATATGTGCACCCATGTTTATAGCAGCACAATTTGTAATAGCCAGATCTTGGAAACAACCCAAGTGTCCATCAACTGAGGAATGGATTAAAAAGTTTTGGTATTTTTATACAATGGAGTACTACTCAGCTATAAATAATGATCACATTGAGAGATTTATAAATAAATGGACGCAGCTTGAGACCATACTCGTAAGTGAAATAAATCAAACTCACATGTATGAATACTGAATAGTTTCCCTAGTGTAAGAAATGATAAGAATACATGAAAGTACGTGGTAATCCTGATTCCCAGTCACACTGGTTTGAAGCCATATAATGTTTTCACTCATTAATTGGAATGGTTTTAATTTGGGTGGTTTTATTTTATTGTCTGTGATACTACAAATAACTATTTTGAAGAAAATAAGAGCGTAATTGCTAGCGCTGATTTAATATCATCCTGTTTTGAAGCCGCATCAAGTTGTTGTTCATTTGTTTCCATTGGTTCTAACATGTCGTATCTTATTATATCTTAATGTATGTGACAGTATAAGCAAGTTTTTTATAGACAAAGAGATAATATAGAAATTGATGTTTGGTTTCTGCTAGCAGGTTCTAAATGCCCTGCAATAATTTCATACTCTTGAACGGTTTCACACTGTCTTGATAAATTTGATGCTATAATATACAAAGTTAGACTCAAATATTTCAAGGAAAGAGTCACTATGGTAACTACTATTAATGTCAAGCTATCTGGGGGTGAAACACAATGATGCTTAAATTTTTCAGTTCTGACCGGTGTTGTTCTATTGACATGTTCTTTTTTTATCTCAGTCTCCCCCACTTTTTCTTTCCTTTTTTAAAAAATTAATTTATTTCTTAGTATCTTTTAACTAAGGGAAAACTAAATTAAAAATAGTGCAATAAATTATAGTAATTTTTTGTTTCCCTATTAATCTGATTTGAACCCCTGTATTGTTCTCCACATCTTGTTCTGACTGATTTTATTATATTCTGTTTCGCTTAAGAGTATCAAGTTTGAGGGTATAGGCAACCATTTGGAAGGCAACCAGATATTCTATGATGCCCGTTATTATTTGACTATTATCTTCTTTGGAATCCTGTAAGCTCTCCAATGTGGTTTTATTGGTCTTATGTACAGTTTTGTTCAATTCTTTTATACTAGCTGATATAGGCAACTCTTTTTAGGATAACAAGAGGCATAATGGTAACCACTGTTGATCACCTAGTAATCCCTTTTTTTTTTTTTTTTTTCATTTTATGCTATGTCCATCCTCCTGATCTAACTGACTCTGTTTTGCTTTGTCACATTGGGTTTTTCTTTGGTCCATCTTGTTTTGTTTTTTGTTTTTTGGCCTTTTTTTAATCTTTTTTCTTTTCCTCTTCAAAGAAAAAGTTAAAAAAAAAACTGTGGAAGTAATGGAAACTAAAATGTGTGATCGTTAGCGTAAAAAAGAGAGGAAGGAAAGTGATCTAAAGGATCTAACTGCAAGTTTATTTAAATGTGTAGGATAGAGAACCATACTGCTGAGTTTTTCTTGGATCATTGAACAGAACTGACTGCAATCTCACTGTATTAATGTCCACTTTGTATGCTTTAATTTTGTAATCTGGACAGCTGTTTGTAAGATGACAATGTGTGATCTATTAACTGGTGAATTCTTACTGTATATTTTTTCTCTTGAAATTCTGTATTACTTCTAGCCTTTTACTGTCTTGTTTCGTTTAGTTTTGTTTTTCTCTTTAAATAAAAAAAAAAAAAGTCATAGAACTTGGGGGTGGGAATTTAGCTCAGCAGCATAAGCGCCTGCCTTGCAAGCAGGCAGTCATGAGTTCGATCCCCGGTACCAATAAAAAGGAAAAAGACAAAAAAAAAAAAATAGAATAAAAAAAAAGTCATAGAGCTTATATCTAAAGGATACAAACCGTCATGGAAGAAAAATAACTTTGCTCTATGATAATTCAAAAAATAAAGAAGCTGTCTTCAGGTTATGATTCTTAAGTAATGTGTTTGTGATGTCACATTCTATTTTAAGTGGCATCACTTTATGTTATATTGCATCATGTTCAACTAGGTCACATTTTACATGATATCACTTTTTGTTTTATATATGATGTTACGTCATGTATGATAGTGTGTGTGTGTGTGTGTGTGTGTGTGTGTGTGTGTGTGTTACTGAGAATTAAACCCCAGGCCTTGGAACTGAGCTGCATCCCAAGCCCTTATTTATTTTTTCATTTTGAAACAGGGTCTCACTAATTCATTAAATTGCCTAGACTGGATTCAGACTTTCAGTCATCTTGCTTTAGTCTTCCACAGCATTACAGGCATGGACCCCGGGTCCAGCTTATGTTGTCTTTTATTACATGCTGTTTGCATGGGATCACACAATGCATAGTGTGTGCAGCGTCACACTGGGCCTCATGGTAACATCTCATGTTTTGTTTGTGTGATGTTCAATTCATAAAGCAGGACTCACTCCACACAGAGCTTCCCCTAGTTGAGTGCTCACATTCTCCGCTGGCTGAAGCCCTTGGGAGACCTGGCATCTATTTTGCTCCTGTTCCTATCAGGAGATTCACTGTCACTCTCAGGAAACTGTATTCTGTTAAAATAGATGCTTGTCAAACTTTCCTCCTGCTTGACTTAATCTATCATGATGAATAAGGAACTACATGGATCCCAAGATCCCCAATTTAACCATTTTTATACAAACAGCACAAGCTGAAAATAAAAAACCAAATTTAAAAGTAGAAAAGAGTTACTCTCCTCAATCACAGATAAAACAACAACTTCAAAAGAGATAAAACATCTTTGTAAAGAAAGTGGACTTCCAAGGTTAAAATGAAACATTTCACAGTAACCAAGATGTTTTATAAAGACGTGACTTTAAATTTTAAAAGTAGTTTTCTATACACAAAGCCAAATGCTAGCAAAATTATGAGTTTTCATCTATTTTTAGTTTTTCAAATGCCTGTACTTTTCAAGTATGATCTCAAATAACATAATCTGTGAGCATCAAGAATTCTCTCTCTAATAAATCCCTTTGCTGATGAAACACCAGTTTCATTGTATTTGCTTAACTACCAGTGGTGACCACTTAACATTCTTAGAGTGATTAAAGATTTATAATGCTAAAATCACACTATGCCAGGGTGTAATTAAAATAATGTCACTGCAGCAATTTGTAGCGGTAACCCACCAAAAACAGCTAAAATTGATGACATTGTTAGCACCCAGCTTTGGCATTTTTCAGCACTTTATTGAGATGCTACCAGAATCAACTTTGAGGTGTGAATACATAGCACCTGTCAGCCCAGAACCAAGCCCAGACAAGTTGCTGGTTGCCCAGCCTGGCAAGTTGGATTTGAGCTAACTTAGAGAAATAAATTCAAAGAGGCTATGCACCATAACATAACGTGCTGTGCATAAGGAGGTAGAAATGTGGCCTTATGTATAGAAAAAGGGAAAGGGAAACATTCACAACTGAAGATTTCTAATGCACCCAGGGACCTAGAAGCAGGCATGTGATATCTCCAAAGCTGCTTTTCCACCTGCTCTACGAGGTTAATAGGCTTCGCTTCCTTCTGCAGCTACATTCTTCCCACGATGCAGTAAATCAAGCTTTTATAGACATTAAGCTAGAAACCAGATATTTTAAATGTCTTAGGAGAACCTGCTTTGGAGGGAAAACCAGGAGTAAATCTTTGATCTAAACAGGCTCCCTGATACCGCCTTAAGTTTATCTTTCTCACAAATCTACACGTCTATGTGCAGTGAGTTTTGCAAGTTGCTGTTGTTTTGTTTTGTTTGAAAAATGACACCAGTTGAGACCACTGTGAAATCAGTGAGCCCCTGAGAAGTGGAGGTTTACGGAAAGTGGAAGGATGCTAGAGGTTCACGAGACAAGCTCGACCTCAGAGGCCACATCTCCAGGGGACTCAGCAGGAGCCAGGGCTGGAGAGAGGGAGCAGGCTGAGAGCTGAAGAGCAGAGAACCTGCAGCAAGAGGAACAGAGGGAGAAGGATCGAGAAGGAGGGAAATGGGGTCGCGGTCAGACGAGGAGAGGAGCTTGTGCTGAGCTCCTGCCGTTCTCCGGCCCTTCCTCCAGCACTCGGGCCCCTCATCACCACGCTGTGCCACAAGGGAGGTAGGATGGGGCTTGGTGGGGACCCCCGTCTCCTCTTGAAGCTGCTTCCTGACACGACTATCAAGTGTGATGGGAATGGTGCTGCCCACATCATGTCCCTCCCCACGCTGAACCCCAAGGGGCTGAGGGCCCACAGCACCGAACTGGCAAGAACTGGACACACATCCTGTTCCGTCACATGAAGGGGAAGCAGCACCATCTCCTCCCTCACTGGCCGTGACAGCAACTGCAAAGCCCATCCCAAAAGCTAGCAAAAAGTTAGACTCACCAAGATCAAGATGGATGCCCGGGACAAACGAATTGAGAAAGAACGTGAAGATGACGAATCCCAGCACTGTCAGGCATTTGACAAGCAGAATCCTGTCTGATATCCTGTGCTGTGAGAGAGAGACACACACAACCCGTCTACTCAGTACAGTTTTCTAACCCCTGCAAGGTGTCATAGTTCAGTGAGACTCAAAACAGTGTAAATTCCTCGAGGATGGAAAATAGAACACCATGAACTTAAAAGAAGGTAACAAGATAATTTATTACAAGGAGAACTGTGCAGACTCTAGATTATAGCATTCAAAATCTTTATGAAAAATAAACTTCATAGATGTCAAATGCAGTGCAGCCTTTTTATAAAACACTAAGCTAATAGTTTTCCAATAAACATGAGAGTATTCAGCTCATCCCAGCCTCGTTCCAGGGCTACAGGAGATGTCAACAGACTCGGGGAGATAACAGACAACCTCCAGGGGTGGCCCTGCATTTCTGCAGAGTGGTCACCGTATTTTAGCCTAACTTTCCTGCTCCTACTAATAAGCACAGTCTGGGGTGAAGAGCTTAACATATTCTTGGTCTGCCATGGCTCAGGCTGGGTTTATTCATGTTATGCTTGCAAAGACCTTAGGGTGCAGGTGTCACCCCTACTATTGAGGGGTGAGAACTTGAGGGAATCTGCCCAGCATGCAGAAAATACAGTGCAGTGCCTTATCAAGCTCAGATCCAGGCCAACCTGAGCGCTCTTCCTGTGAACCCCAAGAAGCGCTGTGCAGTGCGGGGCCACAGAGCACATGTAGATGGGTTCCCGTCAGCCTGCGCTGCCAACAGTCCCTGTATGTGTCCTGGCTCCGTGTAGGAGCTGACAGCAACACTGGGTTCTTAATTAAAAATGGTCCTACTGTTCCAGGCAGCTGAGTTAGTTAGAAATATTATATAGGCCTCAAAGGAGCCAGAGCAGAAGTTCAGATACCTTGCAGCCTTGGCAGAGACAATCACCTCCTGCTGTGGGCCAGATCTCAAGACAAAAGGCAAAGCTGAGCACAACCACATCCTAAGGATCCACAGTCTAAATGGTTCTCTGTCACCCTGAGGAAGTCAGGAGGCAGCATCCCGCCCCCTACAGGAAGTCCCTGCTGTTAAGCACACCCACTTACTACATGACTCGCTCCCCCATTTGCTCCTAATTTAATCAATTTTACGAGTAATTAATCTTATTGGTTGACCACAGTTCTGTCCTGCCTTATGTCCACTGTGCAAATTGCCATTTTCCTCACCTTTGACCCATTTAACCTCATGGTTTTACTCTATAAAAGTCCCTAAAAAAGACAGAGTCCTTGGCAACCCACTCGGGACCCCTTCTGTCTCTCTCAGACAGAAGCTTTCTTTCTCTTAATAAATATATTCTGCTCTTAGAACCTCCATTGTTCCTAAAATTCATTCTTTGATTTCAGAGGACACTAACTCATACCGGACATAGTAGGATGGAAGTTTCATTCCCCTGTATCACTACCAGCACAGCTGCCCATCAGTCTGTCTAATTCATCTGGGTTTTGATAGGTACATAAATATCCTTTATTACCAATGGGAGAGTAGTTCTAGGACCCAAAATCCTCAGATACTCAGTCCTTTACATAAAACAGCTGCACACTATTTGCACAGAACCTGTGTGACACTGCTTCAAGCTCTAAATTGTCTCTAGATGACTTACGATGCCTGATGTGAAGAACATACCACGCAAACGACCACGACACCACACTCTGTAGGGAATGATGGTGAGAAGAGTCTTTCACATTCAATACAATCATATTTTCGAATATTTTCAGCCCTAGTTGGTTGATTCCATGGATGCAGAAGCCACAGACATGGAGGACCTGTTATAGGTGTCTCTGATTACAGATGTCTACAAGAGGTGAATTAGAAACTTTTGAGAAAAGAAATCAAGATACCTTTTTCTGTAGCTCCTGGATATTGGTCTCCCAGTTTTTATCTTCTTGTGAGATTTGTCTAAAAGAGACAACAACAGCACATCAATCCCTAGCTATGTGAAGCAGAGAGGTGACAGGGCAGCCACCGACAGCCTGAGCCTGTGCACCTGCGTGAGGAAACACACTCTACAAAGTGTGCCACCACTAGGGCGTTAGATGGGTGGGTGGGTGTGGGGGTGTGTGTGCAGGCACATGTTAGGGAGTGAGCATGGGAAACACCCAGAGCACGTGTCAGCGTGTGAACAGGACAGTGACCATCGTGTCCTTTCCCCTCTCTCCATAGACAGCATCCTTTGGTGTTGATGAGGAACTGGTTCCAGGACCACAGCAAATACGAAAACCCCCGAGTGCTCACGGCCTTGCTGCCAAATGACGCAGTATTTCCACGGAACTGGTGGACACGCCCCTCACACTTTCAATATCTAGATGACTTATAATACCTAGTGCAATGTAAATGCTATGCAAACAGTTGTTACGCTATGGTGTGTAACATAGTGAAAAGAAAGAAAAGTCTGCATCTGTCTAGTGTGAGCACAATTTTTTTCAAAAATTTTCAACCCACATTGCTGCAGCTGTGAAACCCGCAGATGTAAGCTAGTGATGGTACGTCCTGAGTTTCTGATCCCAAAATTAGAACACTGCACCCCTTCAACTCTTTACAACTGCCTAAAAAAGTGGTAAAAGAAATGCCACTTGCTTTGACAATAATTTTTATCAAGAGAAGATCAATCTCAAGAATTTATGCCAGGTGTGGTGGTGTATGTCTGTAAGCCCAGCACTCGGGAGGCAGAGGCAGGAGAATCATTGCAAGTTCAAGACCAGCCTGAGCTACAAAGTGAGCTCAGGGTCAGCCTGAACTGCATAATGAGACCTTACCTTAAAAAGACAAAAAAAAAATTTATGCCTGTGTCCTTGCTTCCGTGTGGCAATCCTTCTCTGCTCTGGAAACCACCCACCCTTCCCTTTGCCTTTCCTTTTAATCGTTCCAACTCAGCACAGCTTTTCTGGTTGATTTCCGCCCAGACCGGTTTGGGGAGAGAAGCTAAACAGTAAAGAAGGTCTTTTTAGTGCGCTTCAAAGGAGAGAGATCATGCAGCCTCAGGCCCTGGGGGACAGCAGAGTGGAACTAGCCAAAGGATGCTGAGGAAAACTTCTTAAAAGAAATTGAAAACGAATCCTGCAGAGCCAGCACTGCCTTAGAGGCTCGTTCCACTCTGCCCTTTGATGCATGTGCGACCTCAGGGAGCCAACCTCGCCCCCAGGCCTCAGTGTGTGACCCACACAGAGTGGGCAGGAGGGAACACGGAGTCTGCGGCCCACCCCTCCACCTTATAACCTGGGCTCCACCAGCTGTGTGCTTATTCCCCGAGCCAGCGTGATTTACTCCAGCATCTTTAATTCATTAAAAATGTCCTCTTGAAGGCCTCTGCCTGCTAAGAATTAGTCAGTCTGGCCCCAGGCTGCACCTCAGGACACCCCGGGGGCTGAGGGCAGTGACCCACTGCTACAGCATTGCTGAGCTGAGGTGGGCTCTGGGCTGGGACGGAGCTGTTACCGTGGGTGGGGGTAGAGCCTCTCCCTAGGCTCTGTCTCTGGATCTAATGTGCTGGCCTATGGCGTGCTCCTCCCACGGTGACCTTAGGGGTGAGCTTGTGCTGGCAAACTACATCAACAAGGCCATTGGCAAAGCCATTTCTGTGCTCGGCCTGAGCTGAGCTACTTGTCACCTCCACCACTCCCAGCTGGGCTGCAGGAGCCTTCAGGACTCTCCGGGTTCCTGACAGAGCTGCAGGGGTCTGCGGGTTGGTGCTCAGCACCTTGTTTTAATGAGCAGTAAATCTTCACCAAGGCATGGCTGCTTTTAGCCTCCACTTTGATTAAAAATGAATGCCAGGAAATGAATTGATTAAAAGCGCTATAAACTTCGAAGTGACTGAAAAAAGACAACTACTGGAAGAAAGTGTTCTCAGAGAACTCACTACAGTGAATGGCTTTCATCCTTGTGGAAAGGTAAGATGCACAGCCCGGCGGCTAAGACTGCCTGCGACCAGAGCTCAGCGTCATCGTCCTGAGCTGTTGCTGGGAAGGTTGCTTAAAGCCTCTGAGCCTCCGCTGTTTCCTCCTTAAAGCAGCATCCAATGTGCAGAACCAAGTGAGCATCCATAAGGGTGCACCAAAGTGTTTAGTGCCCCGAGTGGCACGGGTAACCCATGAAGGGTGTGCTGTTTCGTACTGCCCTGAATGCCTGGACCAAGGATCATTTTAGCTCACTCGTTGTGTACGACATTTGGACCCTGTTTGGATGGTGGCGGGATAAGCGGTTCACGCAGTCCCACCATGCACAGCCGGTGAGGCTGAGAAGGCTGCAGCAGGCGCGTCGGGACCCTGTCTGGTACCTCTGGAAGCTGTGCAGCCGCTGGGCCAGCAGGTGCTCCAGGGCCAGCACCTTCCGCAGCAGCAGGCTGCGCACGGCCGTCTCCTCGCGGCTGGCTGGGCTGATGCGCTGTGCCGTCAGTCGCCACACGTGAATCTCGTGCTTCAGTTCTGCAGAGAAAAAGCGAAGCTGGAGCAAGGGCCTGGCTGCTGGCGGCACTCACCTCCCTACGCCACGCATGCTGACCAGGCACAGCCAGCCGGGTTTGGCCCGAAGCAAGGGCTTTCTCAGTGTATGAGCTATCGTCATGGAACAGATGACAAAGCTAACTTTTAAAAGTTTACATGGAAACAAAGTCACGCAGCTTCAGCTCTTTGGGGAAAGAATAAGTCCCCCCTCGAAGAGACATTATTGAAAAAGGTACCCACAAGCCCGTCCCTTCTGTAGGCCTTGATTTCAGCCAAAATCTGGACATCACGGCCCTTTCTCAGCCTCTTCTGTGTTGAGATGAAGTAAGAGAGCCTCACCAGCACCAGTGCTGGACGCCTGGACTCCCACCCCAGGACAGTGAGCGAGGGCCCTCTGCCTTTCACACTCATCCAGGCTGCAGGATTCAGTTCTGGTAACAGAAACTGAGTGAAGCCAATTGCCCAGGCTTCCGGTGACTTCAGAAACAAATCGCAGGAAAACCAGAAACACAGCACAGTTCTCAGCCAGTGGCCCTTCGGCAGGACTCTGCCGAGAGACAGGAGCTGGGAAAGGTGCTTCCTCCCTATCAAGCCTGCGGCAGCTCAAGTCTGTGACACAAGAGAGGCTGACAGCTTGTCGAAATCAGCAAAGAATTTGCTTCCCTTACTGGATGCAGACACCTTCTATAGAGAAGAGCAGAGAGCTGGTTTATCGATTCATTGTGTCCTAACGTTTTGAAACAGTCCATGGAAGCACATCTTTAACCTCCATTTTACAAAATACTATATATATTTCTTCTCAAAATAATCATTAAAAGAATGCAAGAAAGCACAATATTCTCAAGAACCATTCTGTATGAGCTTGCAGTCACTGTAAGAAAATGCCTGAGATAAGCAACTTGTAAAGAGGAAAAGTTCACCTAAGCTTTTGGAGATCTCAGCTCATGGTAGCTGGCCCCCTCCTCTGAGCACAGGGTGAAGGAGTGCCAGGGAGCAAAGACAGAGAGCAAGGCCCAGGGCTCCTCACACTCCCTTCAAGGGCATGGCCCAGTGACTAATTCTTCCCACCAGGCCCCACTCTGCACCACCTGTGGACAGTGCCAGGGACTTCAGCACACGGGCCCTTGGGAGACATTTCAGATCCAAACTACCTCACCTCTGATATTCCAGGATTCCCACTACATATCACAAAAACTAAAGATAAAAGTAAAATACCACAGCCTTTCAAGCAGGCCAGAGCACCCAACAACCAATTCAGGGCAGAAGCGAGATGTACAGAAGCCTCAGAGACTCGCGAGCAGCACAAACTTACAAGCTCCACAAGAAAATAAATAAAAAGAAAACCACTGTTTAAGGCCCTCCACTCAGTAGGCAGGGCTGACCACCTCCTGCATGGCAGAGCTGCTGCAAGGCTGAGGAGGCCAAGACCAGTCCATCACATGGGCACGGACTCCACGAACCCTGCCAGGACTTGGAGCAAGAGACCAGGGACAGGCCAGGAGCAGCGGGATGATTTCAGCAGCACCCGCATTGCTCCAGGACCTCAGCCTGGCAAAGACACACTGTGGCTCACTAAAGCAAAGCGCCTTGGGTGTAATTCAAAGTCCTCTTCAGAGACATGCACCATGACATCTCCTGAAAGGCCTCACATTCCATTTAACCCCCTGTGAAGCTATGAGAGCATAAAAAGAATGAAGAGAAACAGAAGGCAGAGAAAAGGAAAACCAATGACACAGTGGTCTAAATGCTGAACACAAAAGCACCACGCTGGGGCAGGCCTGGGGATGCAGGGCTTGAGCACAAGTTCAGATAAGGCAAGCACTCTGCTCCGACATCACTACACAAGGCATTACTGAAAGCTCAGCCATAAGCGTCAGAGGCTTCCCAGCCACTCTCCAAGGACATAATGGTGAAGGGCCACCAACCAGCTTAAAAAAGCATACACATCCATGTGGCACAGCTGGGGTCCTATCCAGCCTCACGCTTGGAAAAGCAGAGACAGAAGCCAGTTACAGTGCCTGTGATGTTGCCTCTGGCCCCTGGGCCCTCTGACACAGAGGACCCTCAGAGACAGCCGGAAGCCCTTTGTGCACAGCCAGTGTCTATTCCTCTCCACCTGTCAGCAGGTCACATGGATGAGCTGCCCTCTTTGACTCAGCCTGTCCACTGGTTCTTGGGTAGCACAGTCCTGGATTCCTAGGTGTGGAAAGAGACACTTGGTTCTGAGGGGATTTACCTGGGAGAGAAGGAAGCCACGTGGAAAGGAGGGTAAGGGCTCACTGGCCCCAAGCAGGCAGCATCCCAACGAAAGATACTGGCCTGACATACTCCCTGTGACAACACCTCCGGCCCGTGTGTAAGAACCCCCTCTGGAGAGTAAAGCAATGTGCCAAGAATGAAGCTTGAGGCTGCAGAGGAGACGCTTATACTCACCAACAAGCTCACTCGGCTCCTTATTATAAAGCTTTTTGTTCCAGTAAAGGAGTCTGAGGAGTGGAAAGGAGACCAGGAGAACAAGGCAAATCCCAACAAACATGTGTGCTGTGAATTTGGCGAAGTCCAGGCCCTGGGAAGAGAAAAAAAAAATGAATGACAGACGGAGCTCTCTCCTGCGCTGGTACAGGTCCCCACATCAGGATACAAGGAGGGCCGAGGCCAGGAGTGGGGAGATGGGCACAACACAGACTGGGGACCCTAGGGAGAGGACATGGAGCCCAGCACAAAGTCCAAGGAAGAGCAGGGACCCTCATGATGACTTCAGACAGCTAAGGGTTTGCTTCTTTCATACCAAAAACCAGTTCTTACATGAGTGGCAATCCATCTTAGGAGGAAACAAAACCAAGCCATTGCATCTGACTCTGACCTTGGCTTGACTTGGCCCTCCAGGTTGGCCAGGGGTGGCAAGATCCATGGGCTGTCCATGACAGACTCCCCCAGGATCAGGAGACAAAAGGCTGGAGAAGGCAAAACATGACTAATATGACCACAGTCAGCTGTTTAAAGCTAACCTGGGTCTTATAACTATTTCACGGAAGTCTCTGCCACTGATCTGAAGGACTGTTCTCACAACAGGAAAGCAGGCTTCCCTCTGCTGGGCACCATCATGGCTGAGGCCATCCAGAGCACCAGCACCTGCCACCTGGTCCTACGCAGGAGCACTCTCTTTCCCTCTGCTTCCTCTCCTGCCGTGGAAGTGTCTGCCATGATCAGTGCTGAAGATTTCCTTATTATGGGTAAAATCCCACTAGGTTACTTTGTCTGGGAATAAGTTGGCATCATCTTTGGTTTTGTTCTTTCATTTATTTTGTGCTCTTATACATTAAGAGAAGTATGTGTGAGAGCCCCAAGGAAGACAGATGAGATCCTCACCCCAGGACACTGGTCACCTGTGAGAACTCAGGAGAGTCCGTGGACTACAGTGCCACACAGAGGATCAGAGGCACAATGGCAGTATGTGACCACTGCAGAGTGAAGGACCACAGTCCAGCTGTGTCATGGGGGCCAAGAGAGGCATGTACACAGGTAGAGCAGTGGTAACTCGCACGGATGCTCTGAGAGACCCCAGGGTAAGAGTTAGAAACCCACCTCCCAAAGCCCTGCGTTGGAAAGAGTGATGTAAACTATATTAACTAACTGTATTTGACCACCTCAGTTCTAGAAATGATCCGAAACCACTTACAGTAAGTCCTCGACTTAGAAACACTCAAGTTGGGAGCTTTCACAGACACTTACATTTGGTTTCTGTGTGCTTTAAACTATATATTTGTGTCAAAGATGTGTAAGACTCACTTTATTGGGTTTAAGAACAAATCTGACTTACGAATGTTCTCCTGGGATGGAATGCCTCTGTAGGGCAAAGACTTACTTCCTAACACTGCTAAAGGTACAGCACTACTAGGAGCTGTGTCAACGTGCTGGGCTTGCCAATGAATGATCACCTGAAATTCTCAATCTCATAATTATCTGCATAGCCAAAGACAGGAAAAGATAAATGTGAGACTCTTGCAATGCTCTGAATGGTTGTACAAGAATTCATTACCTGTCTAGCTGTGTGCCTGTAATCTCAGCACTCAGAAGGCTGAGGCAGGAGGATCCCTGGAAGTTCAAGTCCAGCCTGAACTGTATAGTCAGACCCTGTCTCAAACAAGGAAGAAAGCACGCAAGGAGATCATCGCAGCTGTGGGTTGCACACAGCCTGCTCTGTGTGTTTTTTCCTTTTTCTACTTAGTTGAAGGCAATGACTTACTTCCTAACATTTTCTACTTAGTTGACTTGGTCTTGTTTTATTTTACAGGGTTATTTTTGTTTTCTGTTTTTAGTCTCTTTTTTCCTCTCTCCCCCTTTCTTTTCTTTTTCTTTAATGACTTAGATTTACTATCTTCCTTTTTTATCTATTTGCCTTCTTTTGCCAACTTCTTGCATGGTTTTATGATACTTTCACGTGAACAGACATTGTCTCTTCTCTGCTCGGTTCCCTTCATTCCTCTGCTTCCTCTTCCATTCTTTCCCTCCTCATCTTCCAGTTTCCCAGAACTGGGGTGATCATCATGCCCTCCAGCCTTGCTCCTACTACACTGGCTCTCATCCATCTCTCTGTCTTGCCCCCTATTCCTTTAATCCCCTCCTTACACACAACAGGGTAAAATCACCCCACTAAAGGGAAAATCATTCCTACAGGTTCCTAGTATATGCTGGATTCTGTTATACAATTGGAGAATTTGCTCCCATGGTTCAAAGTATCAGACTCCTGGTTACCACAGTTTGCCAGTAGCCAGGCTGTGCTTGAGACTGTTGTTATTGTTAACTATCCTACTTTGGCCAGGACATCATACCTGCTATAATCAGTTTTTCTCTCCTGTATGAAAACACTGTGATTGAGTGGGATCGTTACCATCACCCTGATCCAGTGCCAGAGGACTGGGTGCTGAGCCAAACAGGTAACAACTTTGCATCCTCAACACATTGGGAAGGTAAGTTCTTCAGATAGACACAAATACCAAGAAACACCCCCATCTAGAAGATATCCCTTTGGAACCGTCATTTCCTAGGGAAGCTTTGATACTAGGGATAAAGCTATCTACCAGATGAAATCTATAAGCACTAACACAGAACACAAAAGAATACAAAAAACGTAAGACAGAAAATGCCAAGACAGACAGAAGCAAAATGCAACCCAGACCTCCAGCCCATCCAAGACAAGTCTAGAACTCAATAAGATAAATGAAATCAAAAGCCAACCACTGGAACTTTCTGCAATTATAGTAATAAAAATGGAAAAAAATTAAGAGGCTATAGGAAAAACAATATCTAAGGTGAAAAAAGAAATGATGATCAAAATGACATTAAAGCAGACACATATTTAAAAATTAGAAACAATGGAAAACATGAAAGTCCAGCATAGGAAAGAAATAGAATCCATGAAAGAGATACAAACAGAAGCCCAGGAAATTAAAAACTCCACTGAAAGTATATGAAGCAGATTGAATGAAGGAGAGGATAGAATATTAGATCCAGAAGACAGGATTGCAACTAGTGACAATGAAAATAAAGATATCTTAAAAATAACAAAAGACTATGAAAAATCAATCCAGCAGCTACAAAATGAAGCAAAAAAACACAATGTAATATTGCTTGGAGTTGGTGAAAAAGTCAGAGACAGTACAAAAGACATAAGAAAAAAACTTCACAGAAATAATGGCAGAAAACTTCCCAAACATGAATAAAGAATTTTACATGCAAGTAAATGAAGCATATATAATTCCAAATATCCATGATAAAAATAAATCTACACCAAAGCACATATCAATCAAGATTCCAAAATTTAAGCACAAGAATAGAATACTAAAAGTGTCTAGAGAAAGGAAACAAATCACCTATAAAGGAAAACTCATCAGAATCACAGCAGACTGCTCAACACAAACCCTCAAATCAAGGAGAGCTCAGAGTGAGGCATTTCAAGCTCTAAAAGAAAACAATCTTTAACCCAGACCAATGTACTCCACAATACTATTTTTCAAAATTAATAGAAAAGTAAGATACTTCCATGACAAAGAACAACTGAAGAATTTATGATCATCAAGCCAGCTCTACAGAATGCTCTGAAGGACATATAAGAAAGAGATAACGAAGACTGAAAACACATGAACACCAACAGAACAATGCTTTCAGACAGGGCAAGCAAAAACAGAGGAGAAAAGGAACCAAAAACATGAAAAAGATAAGCCAATGCATATCAGTTATAAGTATGAATGTAAATGGTCTCAACTCACCAGTCAAAAGAAACAGACTGGCAGAATGGATCAAGAAACAAGATCCAACAATATGCTGCGTTCAAGAAATACACTTAACCCAAAAAGAAATTCATAGCTTTAAAGTCAAAAGATGGAAAACAATTCTCTATGCCATAGGAATCGAGGAAAAAGCAAGAGTAGCTATCCTATTTGCAGACAATGCAAATGTTAAGCCAAAACTAATTGAAAGAGACAAAAAAAGACAATACATACTTGTTAAGGGAAAACTCCAAGAAGAGATAATAATCATAAATATATATGCACCCAATACCAGTTCACCCAACTACATAAAACAAATATTAACAGACATGAAAAACAACACAAGTACTAGCACAATTGTAGTGGGAGACCTTAATATTCCACTCTCACAAGTAGATAGATCAATCAGACAAAAAATCAACAAAGAAATACCAGAACTAAACCCAACTTGTGATCAAATGTACTTGGTAGATATCTATAAAACGTTCCATCCCAAGACATCAGAATATGCATTCTTCACAGCTGGACATGGGATGTTCTCCAAAATAGACCACATAGCCTGTAAAACATGTTTAAGTAAATGTAGAAATGAAATCATCTCATGCTTATTATCTGACCATAGCACAATGAAACTGAAAATCAATGACAAAAAAACCCACAAAAACTCCATAAACACATGGAAATTAAACAATACTCTTCTAAACAACCAATGGGTCATGGAGGAAATTAAAGATGAAATTAAACAGTATATACAATTAAATGATAATGCCAGCATAACATACCAGAGCTTATGGGATGCAGTGAAAACAGTCCTACAAGGAAAATTTATAGTAATGAACTCTCATATCAGGAAAACAGAACAAGCTCAAATTGAACCTCAAACTTCTAGAAAAAGAAGAACAAATCAAACCCAAAGCTCATATGAAGGAAGAAATTATAAAGATAAAGGGGGAGATGAATGCAATTGAGGCTAAGAAAACAGTACAAAGAAACAATGAATCAAAAAATTGGTTCTTTGAAAGAATAAATAAAATTGACAAACCATCGGCTAACCTCATCAAAAAAAAAGGAAATAAAAAACACAAATTCAAGCCATTTGGAATCAGAAGAGAGATATCACAATGGGTCCCACAGAATTTCAGGAGATCATCAGTACCTACTGTAACAACCTATATTTTAATGGGATGGAAAACACAGAAGAAATGGATAGATTCGTAGACACTATCAAATTGCCAAAACTAAATCAAGAAGATATAAAAATTCTAAATAACCTGATCTCAGCCAATGAAATTGAAAA